GTAGCCATGGGATTTCTTATGTGAGATAATCTCTATCGTCTAAGCCATTTTGGTTTAATATTCTCTTGCTTGCATCTTGACTCTTTTCCCTCTAAACAATAATAGGAAAGTGAATCATTCTAAAGCCAAGTCATGATCCTGTTATTCCCATGCTCAGAAATCTTCAGTAGTTTCCTACTGCCTACCAAAGAACTTCACATTTGTGAGGCCTGTTTTCATTTAAGACTTTCCTAAATGTTGTCCCAACTTACCTTTCCAAGCGCTTATTTTTCAAGAGCTTCATTTACATGGTCCCTTCCAGTGATTAAAACAGTTGAAGAGCTGAAGCAAGAAAAGGGAAGAGGAGGAGGTACCACCCAGCCTAGCAACTGGCTGGTCCTGGACCAAACCCTGCCCTGACTTTCCTGTCCCAGGAGAAGGTACACTTGGCCATCCCAACAACCCCCCTCAACATTCAGCAGAGGTAGCATCTGCAAGGCTGGAGGCCTGAGGGGTCCCGACTCCTTCACGGTGCTGGAAAATGCCATGCCTTCAGTGTTTACGGATGCAGAAGTGCAGGAGGTCATACCCGAGTTGGATCTGTTCTCTAGTCCTCCATTTGAGAAGCCCAGCCAAATACTGGAACAGTTCCCATAAGGGGCAGTCACAGGCCATATGAGCCTTGGGTTCCCAGACAAACCAGCCCCCAGAATGGCATTAGCATTGCCTGGCATTGGAAGTCCTGGGTCAGGGGAAACTCTGGACTTCCTTCCAGGTACAAGTCCACACAAGTCCATACTCCTCAGCCCAATGAGATCACTGGATTCTCTCAAGCAAGAGTGAAGTATTAATGATACATACTAAAGGGGGTAGGGGGACGGATTAAAGGGACTAAGTTCGGCATAGGGTAGAGATAGCAAGGAGTTGTTTTTTAAAAAAAATAAAAAAAGTTTAGGATGTTTGCTTTTTTAGTTTAAGTGTTCCTCAGTTCTGTCTGTCTGTCTGTCTGTCTATACAAATCCATCTCCCTTACTCTTTGCCATTTCCTTTGTTTACTGTTTCCTTTCCCAATGTCCCTGTCCTCTCAGGCCCTCCCCTCATTTCCCCTCAGCTGCATTTTGGAGAGAGAAATCAAGGGAACCCTCAGCTTCCCTTCTGATTGTCCTCCTGCTTTGGGGGAGGGTGAGTGAGGTCTGCTCTTGGGATACCCTGTGGCTCTTTTTCTTCACCAATATGCCCTCCATCCCTCCTCCCCATTTCTGTTTTCTGTCCTTTTATTCAGAATTCCCAGGTGAATTTTATTACTTGGGGAGTAGAACAGATGCTAAAAGTTATCCAGGATTTTGTTTTCTTTTTCTTTTTTAAATTTGTGGTTACTTCCCTTTCTTTTTCTTCCCACGCAAATGGAGTTCTGTGGAACTTCCATTAAATTTGGTACAAAACCACTTGCTGGGGCTGTGACATCAAGAAAATGAAATCAACTTTCTTACAATTTTTTAAAAGAATACTTTAAAGCTTAACCCCAAAATGACTTCCACAAGACTCTTCCTGATCCCCAGGAAGACCAAATGTCATTTTCCTTGGAACTTGTGACTGACCCCTAACACTTTCTTCTTAAAAGATTATTTTTTTATGTTTTATGTTTCCTTCATGTTGAAACTACGTGAGAGTTGGGTCTAAGTCTGATTCAACGTTGGATGCTCCACAGTGTTTTGCAAATAGATACTCACTGAACGTTAGGCAGATGCATATTTTTTTTCTCTAACCACTTCAAATGATCCCTAGCATGGGGAATGGTGAAGGAGCAATGAGAACAAGCCTCACAAGTTGGGACCTGCCACTCAATTTATGAAATTAGAAAAAAAGTAGACTCAAGGAGGACACAACCCAAGCTATAAATAGCTTCAGAGAAACTCAGCAACAGATGACAGAGGGGTTTGTGTGAGCTTACAAGGTGCTAAAGGTAAAATGCTGGGGTTCCTGAAAAAGAAAGGGAAGTTTATAAAGTTTGCTCCTTAGCAGCAGAGGCAGGCAATATCAGGCCTTACTCTGTCTTAGTTCAGGCTGCTATGAAAAATCTCAGGATAGACTGAGTGGCTTCAACAACAAACACTTCTCACAGTGCTGGAGGTTGGAAGTCCAAACACCAAGGCTCCAGAAGGTTTATTTGGTGTCAGGTAAGGGCCCTCGTCCTGGTTCACAGAAGGCTGTCTCCTCACTTGTCCTCACATGGTGGACCCCAATGGGGCTCTCTGAGGTCGCTTATAGGGGCATTAATCCCATTCATGAGGACTCCACCCTCATGACCTAATCACTCCCTTAAGCCTCACCTCCAGATACCATCACATTGGAGAAGAAATGTCAACATGTGAGTTGTGGAGAGACACAAGCAGTCCATCTCACTGTGGTTCCACACTGGCTCCGCCCTCCCTCCTCTGTCAGATAAGTGACAGGTCGTGCTGGTGACAGCCTGCACCACCAGCAGTGCATCTCGAAGCCGTGGAAACTGGGCATCTTAATAAAAATCTTCCTCACAGTGGCCCTCAGGAACAGTTGGAGGTTAAAATGATCAGATTAGAGCCATTATAAAATAATTTTTATGTGGCATCCCCAAATAAGTTTCTTATTCAAAGCCATTATTTTAGCCAGTCCCTGCATAATTAAATGAGGATTAGAAGTACAGAGTGAGTGTAGAGGAGAGAAAAAGGGCTCCGGTGTCTTTCCATTTCAGAAAATATTTTGAATATGTGTCAACATCTAATTTGTTGCAGCCATCCTTTTTTTTTTTTAAAAAAAAAAAGATATTTTTATTGATTTCAGAGAGGAAGGGAAAGGGAGAGAAAAAGATAGAAACATAAATGATGAGAGAATCATTGAATGGCTGCCTCCTACACACCCCCTACTAGGGGTCGAGCCTGCCACCCGGGCATGTGCCCTGAGCAGGAATCAAACCAGGACCTCCTGGTTCATAGGTAGACACTCAACCACTGAGCCATGCCAGCAGCCAGGCCAGCCATTCTTTTTTTTAGTTACTATTTGCTACACTTTATTTAGATTCAAGAATGAATCTTCTGAAGACTCTTTATTTTAAAATTGATTCTGTGAAACCTGCTCCGGTATCGTGATGATGGCACCCTGGAAGCAGTCAGACAAACTAGGACAATGAATATGTGCTTTTAAGAAAAGCCATTTCCGAGATTCTTAGCTTCTAAATGCAGTGACAAGGAAAAACCCCATGGCATTGCTGCTAGGGGCACCCCATGCAAGCCCCAGCCAGTCCACCCGGAATTTTGTCACTCAGAGAGTGCTCTGTTTACTCACAGGCCTACTCACTTTAAAGGAACCCAACTTACAAAAATTTAGACTTCCCAGGTAGCAGAGTGGGCAGAGTGATTATCTGCGAAAGGAAAGGATTCTTTGTCATGCCAATACCTAAAAGAACAGCTACTTCAGTACATTTTTTGTTGTTGTTGTTAATCCTCACCCCAGGATATTTTTTCATTGATTTTTAGAGAGAGTGGAAGGGAGGGGGAATGAGAGAAACATCCATTGGTTGGCTCCCGCACACAACTGGGCCAGGGATGGAGCCTGCAACCTAGGTACTTGCCCTTGACCTGAATCTAACCCATGACCCTTCAGTCCTCGGGTTCTTGGGCCGAAGCTCTAATCACTGAGTAACTGGCTAGTACCCCTTAGTACATTTTAAAGTTTGAAAACATTTATTTCCCAGAGCTCTGGTTTGTTGGAAATGTGATACACATATCTTCTCTTCATTGTTCTAGCACAGACCTTGATAACTTCTGAAGCCAGTTTGAAGCAGGCTAAAGAGCTAATGGTCTGTGTGATGTACTGTGTGGCTCATGAGCCTAGAATAAGAGACCAAAGAACAAAATAACTATCTAGCATTGCTTTGCTATGAACCTCAAAACAGTCATTTTGTTTTGCTCACAGGGCAATTGTATTAAGCAGCCTACTCCATGGAAAGTGATTTGGGTTTCTGCAAAGAAAGAAATTATAGTTTGGTTTGACAGAATAGCATATTACATAGGGAGAACATCAGATCATGAGAGAATATTGAAGCTTAACTGGTCCTTGGCATCCTCTTAATCAGTCCAAATCCTTCCTACTGTAGATGCAAAAAGTATGGCAAGGCATCTTAATTTTACCTGCCCAGCATTTTTTCTCCTCTTCCCAAGTGAGCCTTAAAAATGGGTTCACTTCCAACAAAGAGTTCCAAAGGGGATGGCTTCATTAGTGCAGGCCACCCAGGTGGCTCCTCTGAGGGGTCCCAACCTAGGGCACCTTAGCTGCATGCAATTTTCCATGTATGGTGGGTGCCAGGGAAAAGTGGTTTATCACTTAATTGAAAGAATGTCCCACATTTATTATTGTCATCAAATAAAGCAGGTTTGGGGCATTTTGGGTTTGGGTTTTTTGTTTTTGTGGGGGGTTTATTTTTTTTGGTTTGGGTTTGGTTTGGTTTGGTTCATTTCCTTTGCTTTGGCCTGGGTAAGGTAGAACAGAGAATGAAATTAGAAATTATGAAGCATAATCATGCAGTCACAGGCACACACATTTAAATGTAGCTTTGAGTTTTAACTTGTCCGAGTAGTGTCTAAACCACGCAGTTCTTCTATCTGCAGTGCAACCTGAAAAATAAAGGGTGAAATGTCTCTGGGCTGAGCCCTCGCCCTGTACCCTGTCTTGTGCTCTAATCAGCGGGGATGGCGAACGTGCTGCAGTAGCATGTTATAGAGACGTGTTCTGTCTTGGAAATAAGTGAGATACTTCTGGTAAAAATAGATACAGAGATTAGTGGTGGATAAATCTCATTCAGTGTGGAATCTGGGTTGCCTTCATCGGAGTGTTTCAGGAGTTCTGAAGATTAATCACAGATTACAGAACCATTTGAGGATTAAACAACTCATCAAATCCAGGGGGAAAAAAAAATGGTCTTTAAAGACTTTCCCTCCAACCCCCACCCCCCAATCCCAAATACAAATATATATCCCCTAAGGGCTCAGGCTACTCCTAATTTCCTCCAACAAATCTGAGAACAGAGTCAGTTTCCCTGAGCACATTAGGATGGTAAATGATGTAAAATCTGGGGACCTGCTAGGTGGTGCAGGTGAAATAGCTTCCACTATAGAATAGATGTAAGATTTGTATGGTAGAGATGAACTTTAAATTTTCAATGACATAGCTTCTCCATTTCTTTGGGAGAAGAGAAGGCTCTTTCTTCACTTACCTTTTGCTCAGATATCTCACAAGTTCCTATTCATAGGCACATATTTATAGAACTCTAAAAGAAAGCTAAAAACCATCACATCTTAGTTCCTATAAACAGAATACATGGACATTGTTGTTAGTTGTCCCTTGTCCATTTCAGATTATTATATTACTAGAGGCCCAGTGCACAAAATTTGTGCATGGGTAGGATCCCTGCTGGCTGCTGGCTGGGACCTCCCTTCCCCCGGCTGCCGGCTGCCGGCTGCCAGGACCTTCCTTCGTTCTGCGCCACCCCTGGTGATCAGCGCATGTCATAGCAAGTGGTCGAACGCCTAGTCGTTCAAACTCCCAAGGGGGCAATTTGCATATTATATAAGATCATCTTCAGACACAGAATAGATTGTCAGTAAGAAACGGTAGTTTGGATTCAAGCAGATAGAAGCTTATATCCTAGTTCAAGTACTTATTAGATTTCTGACCTTAAGAATATTGCTTAGGCTTTTAAAACCAAGCTTTTTCTTTTAAAATCAAATATTTTGTATTGTACATAATTGTTTGTGCTATCCTTTTTTCCCTTTTAAAAAATTTTACCCATCCACCCCCATTTGGCAACCATCAGCTTGTTTCTGTTTTATTTTTGTATTCATTTGTTGTTGTTGTTTTTAGATTCCACATATAAGTGAAATTATATGGGATTTATCTTTCTCTGTCTGACTTATTTCACTTGCTATAATACGCTCTAGGTCCACCCATGTTGCAAATGGCAGATTTCATTCTTTTTTTTTATTGCTGAGTAATATTTCATTATATAAATGTACCACATCTTCCTTTAACTACAGGTGGTTTTCTTTTAATTTGTAAAATGGAAATAATATCTAATGAGTTTGTGTGAGAATGAGAATGTTGTGAAATTGTACATACACACATACACAAACAGTATTTAGTAAAATATCTGACATAAATAATCCACAAATGATCTTTAAAAAAAAATCCAACAGTATGAGGTGTCCTCTTTTCACCTATTACCCTCATGGATGTGATATTGAGAAACTGCTCACTGAGGCTGTCCTTTTCCACCTCCTTATTGACACATCCACAAACATCAAACTCTAAAGCAAAAACTTACAAAGTAAAAGTCACCCTATCCAATATGAATGGAAGTGAAAGCAAGAATGGAAGTAACAAGAATAAATATTTACAAGTCTTTACTGCATATAAAAGGCTTCCAAAGACAATCTATTCACTCTTTGATAATAAGTCTATGGCCTTAATATTATTCATCCTCATATTACAGATAAAAAAAATATGACTCAGACGGGTTGAGTGATTTTTGGCTAAAACCATACAACTTATCCATGTCAAAGCCGGAACTCATGTCTCTGATTCCAAGTCCCTGGGGCTATGTAGTTACCGAGGCCCAAGAAATCCACGCAAGACTGGAAAAAACTTCCAAGTGATTAACCACGTTGGTTGCATTATGGGCCTCTCTCCTATTTGTGGATTTAACTTTCTCACAAAGGATTATTAAAGAAAGTCACCTAAGCCTCTTCACAAAGCTTAAAAATTCCTGGTTATGTGACAGATGATGAAATACACAAGGCTTTTTTTTGAATGGATTCCAAAGGTCTGGAACTTAAACAGCTGTGATGGAGAGCAAGGCTCTGTGTTATAAGGCTCATGTGAACACTTGTCTGGATCTCTGCAGGGACAGGGACCTTGTCTTCTGCATCTTTGCATCCCAGGGCTTGGCACAGAGCCTGGCACACAGGGAGCACCAGTTGGGGTTTGAGCATGAGGGTCTGCTTTTGTGGCAGTGAGTAGACCAGATAGCCAGTCATGAGAAAACATATTCCATGGCAATTTTTCAATTTTTACTTCTCAGTCCAAGCCACTAACCCAGATAATGAGACGACAGAGCCCTCCAGCCTCTATATCTCCCATCAGTTCTTTCTTCCTGGTTCCCTTCTGGTTCCTTTGCAGGAAGAGTTGCTTTTGTAGATACACCTGAGCTAGAGCTACAGGTCTTGTTTGTCTCAACAGGGAAAAGAATTTTAAAACGAGGACATTAAATCGCCTTCTACTTTGAGTCACTTGAATAACAGTGTTGACTCAAAGCTTCGCCATTTAGAAGACTGGCACTGACCGGTGGAGTGGTGAGGTGGCCTTGGCACCAGCTGGGGAAGGAGCGACACCAGGCTGAAATCTCTGCCCTGTTATGTAACCATGGCTGAACTTATTGACCAGTTAGCGTGCTGATCACTTTCCACACATTTAACTTTCAGTGGAGGGTTCCTATTATTACTCTCATTTTCCAGCTGAGGAACTTGGAGCATGCCCAAGGTCACAGGGAGTAAGGGGCAGATCTGCAGTGAAACAAAGAAACTGGACTTCACAGTGTGTGTTCTTAACTAAACTACCTGACCTTGGGCAAGTGAAAGGCCCTCTCAGCACCTCCATTTCTTCATCAGGGAAAATGTATGAACAACTCCTTCCTTAGATTGAAAAAAATAGACATTGAGATAATACACGAACAACACTTGACACTTAGTAGGTGTTTAGGGTATATCAGTTCTCTCCCTTCCCTCACATAATCTGAGGTTGAAGAGCATCACCTCTTGAGCAATCCTTTAAAAATACAAAGCTCAAATTACTCCAAACCACACCGGAGCCAATGACAATAAAGATGATTTGTTCAAACTTATTATTTTGTTTCAATAAAAGACACGTCTCCAGTTTCCTCAGCAGACCCACAGAGCCAACCCAAACTGAAAACACACGCAGCGATTGCAAGACACTTTGAGAACCAGGAAATACCTTCCCAAAATGACTTGCTTCTTAGCCAAAGCAGACATGGTTGAACAATACAGCAGTGCAGCTGTGGCCTGCAGGGCGCACAGTGGGGCTTCATGCTTCGGGAGCAAATGGAAACACTGGGCCTCGCTTGCCAGCTGGCACCCACACTCCAGGGACAAGATATGCGTGGCCTTGCCTTCCAAGTTGAGAGCAATTGCTGGCAGTACACTGTGAGCTTGTCAAGTTAAGGGAATATTTTCTTTAAAGGCCCATCACTGTTTTTCTTTAAATGGTAGCCACCGAAAAGTTATGCAAACACTTCAGCTGTGGAATATTTAATCTGACATTTGGCATGGCTCCCTTGTTGATCCAAGACTTGAAGTATGCAGTATATGCCTCACAGTTGTTTCATTACTTACTCTAAAAAGATAAACCAGATACAACAATTTAATTTTTCTTCTCCTTAATTTTAACTGGGTTCCTACCTGGATCCATTCTTGATTCCCAAGTAATGGGATGACAGTTATGAACCACAAGGCCATAAGATGGCTCATTTAATGGTGGTGGGGGGGTGTGGGGGTGGATTTGATCCTTTTGGGGGGCTAATGAAAGCTTTGGAAGTCCCTGTGGTTGTGGTTTTCTCAAGTGTTCTGCAGTTCTCCTTGGGCCTGGGTTTCATGTGTTCTCATGGAAACATTGCCAGCACTGTCCCCTCCTCTTCTTGGTCACTGGGTTTTTAGCAAGAGGAGAACAAGCCCCTGCCTGAGTCTCCCACCCATTCACATTGGACACGCACCTGGTACATGTGCTCTTTGCTCATCCCCGGAGCTTTGCTCACCCTGGTCCTCCTTTAACCATCGCACTCAGATGTGTTTTCCTAAAAGGGGAATCTCCTGTGGGTTCTCTTTGAATATCAATCACATGGTTTCTCATCCTCTACAGGCAGAATACATTGCCACTCATCAAAAAACACGCCCATGCTAAAAGGCTGAGGTAGCGGGCAGTTCCCATTTCTTACCCTGTGGAGAAAGGATGCAGTCTTGGCCAACATTCCAAAGAGAAGGAGAACCTTGACTAATGTTCCTTCACCAAATAGGCCAGTTGCTTAATGTAAATAGACTTCATTCCTAACATCCCATCCTTTCTGCAGGTGGGCCAGTAAGGCTAAAAAGCACTAGAAATCATAGTGAAATGCAGACTACTTCTTCATCCTCCTCCTTCAATGCTCATTGTTATGACAACACTGATTCAAACGTCAGGTCCCTTGGCTCCAGGCAAGGGCATAATTCTGCTTCATAGAAATACTGAAACTGTTCATCCTTTAAAAAGTGGTGGGTGGTGGAGAGAAGAGAATCCAATGGACATGTTAAGAACAGAACCAAAGAAAAACAACAAAAAAACCAACCCTGAAACTGCTCAAGTGATCTCGAGACTGACAAATCTGGACGTTTTCTTAGCTCTGATTCAAGTTCCTTAGCTCTGATTCAAATAAAACAAATCATTTATTTCTTTCTCATGGAAAACTCAAAGGACACAAACCTGAGCATTAAGAGCCATGTCCCAGTTTGTTCTTTTATGGCTTTTTAGAGCTAGAGGGATTCAGGGAGGTGAGACATAATCTCCTCACCTCATAAACCTTTAGCCAACAGATGAAAATGTGCCTGAAGTCAGGGAAATGCTATAGGCACGGGCCTTTCTAGCAGGTATAAAATTGAGTAAATATGTTCCTATTGTCAATTTGTATTAAAAAATACCTGTGAATACTATTAATAGCAGTTTTTCACAGATAATGGGATAACAGGGAATTTTTACTTTCTCTTTCTAATTCTCAGCCTCCTCTTTCTCTTTTATAGTTTTTGACATGAATATTTGTTTCTTATATAAAAGAAAAAATGGAAACTAAAGGTGCATTCTCCATCCAAGGACCTAGTCCCAAATGAGGCCACTCTGACGGACCTTCCTGGAATGTGGGCTCCAGGTCAGGAGGCTTCTGTGGAAAGTTGCCAGCAGCCCTTCTACCCAGGGGCACCATCCTCCAGCTCTTCACCCACTCTCTCCAAGCCTTATCGGTGTAGGAAGGAATTAATCTCTTGTCCTCATCATGGACCAGTTGTAAGTAAAATCAGAGCTACCCTAAATCATAGGCCAAGACTATCTAATAGTTTTCTCAAAGGGTTTTCAGTTGTGAATTGTCTTCAAGGAAGAGGCAGGGCATTTCTCAGTCAATAAATGATGAGTGGTATAAGGTATTACATGTTTCCTTAGGCTCCGTAAACTGTAACCAACTATGGATATTGAGTAACTCTTTAGGATTTAGGATGGCAGAGTACTGGCATCTTGCATGCTGACCCTAGATGACTGGGGGAAGTTTCTGGAATGCTCTGTGGAGAAGGAGTGGGAGGAGTGGGCTCGGTGGTAATGCTGGGACACGATGAGCAGTATCTGCCAGGTGTCTAAGGCACCAGTATTGAGGCACAATTGGTTTTACATGGTCAAGCAAGTTTCCAGGGATTTGTGTAGTGATCAAAGTATCTTTCCCACAATATTTGGTTGGACAATATCTAAGCATATCCTAGGAATGAAACTATTTCTATTTCTCTGCCTACTTGACTGCTTTCGTGCATGTCCAGGAGCCTCAGGGTCACTGGCCAGAGCCGTGTGATGATTTCATGATCTGTGCTGGAGGCTGCAATGTCTCAGTTATGGTCTTGGTGCACACTGTACCTTCCTTTAGAAAGCCAGAATCGTGAGCCTCCATTCACAATTGATCTTAAAAGAAAGTGAAAGGGGATGGAAACAAGAGGTTTATAGATCATAAGAATGCTACTTTTAATAATTTTCCTTTATATTTGCATTTTCTCCAGCTTCATAACACTCTACCACATCAAAGGGAGTTTTAAACCAGGATAATTGTATGAGAGTAGCGTTAAAATATCTACATCATCTTTTGCCATTAGAGTTCAAAAGCTTTCTTATTTATATATAGATTGTGGTGTATTTAATACTTGGAGTGGAAACCTTAGAGAAATGAACTGAAATTATATTCCTATGGAAAAAAAAATACTTTTCTTTCTGCCATATTGCTGCAACAGAAATTTATCTGGCAAAGTAAATCGCAATATTGCTCCCAGCAGAAGAATTCTGCATATGTGAAAAAGAGTGTAATTGCCTTTTCAAAATCAAAAAAGAAAAAGAAAAAAGAGAGCAAATTGGAAAGTGTGTTGCCATAACCACAGTTAAGCTCCATATGTATGAAACCTAACTTATGAAAAGTCACATTTTTTTAAACAGATGAAGAAAGTAGTGAACTGTCTCAAGGTATTATACCCTATAAGGGTTAGGTCCATACAGGACTCACTAAAAAGTAAATAAACAAATAATAATAATAAGATCCAGAACTTCTAATATTGAAAACACAGGGATTTAGGAGGACTACAGATAGGGAAGAATATATAAGAAAATCATACCAACACTTAATCTTTGCAATACTGTCAATATGGCACTATAAAATTTCTGACATTTTCTATCAGAAAAAAAACCACACAAAACCTTTGAATCAAAGTGAAGACAGATTCAGTGAACTACTGTACAACTGAGAGAATACTGGGGCAGCATGAGTTGTGACAAGTAAGAAGAAAACATTATGGGAAATTCCTCTAAATATCCCTCAGTTTAAAAGGACAAGGACGGAAAGAGTTGGGAGACTATGGGAAAAACCACTACAATTAGGACTGGTCTCTGTGCTGCATTTATGTCATAGACCCCTTGAGAAAAGCCAGGGATCCCCCCCCCCCATATATTCTTTATCTCTGAAGGTGATTAACAACGGTAATATGGAAAAGCAACGTCTAGAATTTGGATCATTGAAGAGACGGGACTCAATTCATTTGGAACTATTTTTGTGGCTACATGTTACAATTGCAGGCTCATGGTAATATGGTGATATGTGAAGGGGAGAAGCTGGTGATGGAGAAAAAATATATATATTTTCCTTTATGAAATAGAAAGGACATAATAGTGGGAATTTCTTGATGTTGAATTTATACAAGTATGGCTGAGTAAAACAATGTACTCCCAAGTCAGTGGAACTAAAACTTGGTGAAATAATTTCACAAATATATAGAAAAACCTTTCATTCATAAAATTATTTAATTATTAAGGCTCAGAATCCTCATCTATCTCCTCCACCAAAGGCTGCTGAGTGACCTTAAATGGGTGACCAGATTCCATTGGCTTGTCCAGCCAAGTATTTGGAGAGATTCAAAGAGGAGACAGGAAACTTACCCAAGTACATGAGGAAATGCAAGAAGAATCCATTTAGGCTATTTAGTGTTTGTTTGTTTATTTTAAAATGGTAGTTAAAGATAGCCTTCTTTGTAACTGAAAAAGGGAAGAAATGTGACTTGTGAAAAAATATGTAATAAAAAAAGGAAAATAAATACTACATTTCAAAATAAAGCATAATTTTTGAAAATATGTATTCTGGAAAACAAAAAAACCTAGGTAATAAATGATGCCTTTTAAAGGGATATCAGAAAAAAGGGAGAAACATGGATTCCAACAAAAAGAAGATAAAAGATGAAATGATAAGTAAATAGACTGAAATTTAAAAGTCTCAGCTTAGCTATAAAAAGGAGTTATTTCAAAAATTTGAATGGTATTACAAGTCAAAAGAGAAAAGATAGAAGGAAATCGACAATGCACAAAGACAAACGAGTAACATGAAAGATGAGCCAGAGGAAATTCTAAGCATGCAGAAGGAAAGACAGAAAGCTAGAAATAATTAGAAGGTAATACATACAAAATGCTAAAACAGATCCTGCATATGGATATAACTTTGATACCAAAATCACATGAGAAAAGTATAAGTAAAAACATTGAGTCCAATCACTCTATGATGGTAGACGTGAAATACTAAAAACATTAGGTAATTGAATCCAGTATGTGCATGTGAGTACATGAATGTTGTGGTTTGTCTAACAGGATCTATTTACTAAAGTACCAGGATACTTCTAAAAGGTCCAAAGTCTCTATTATGTGGACACTAAAGCCATCTGTCTAAGCAAGATTCTGCCTCATATAAGAGTCTTCCAATCTTGGAATACACTTTTCCAGCATTCTCTCTACCCATGGGTTTCTTGTCACAAAGGAAAGAGAATTAATGATACAAGATGAAATTATAAATATAATGTGTCTACTTTACTTCTAATGTAACCACTTCGAGAAAAGATGCAGAAAAAGAAGTGTTTGGCCAAAAGAAGGCAGAGTCAGGATCCGATCCCCTTCAGCAGGAGGGAAGATTGGGAACCGGGTCTGTCCAGTTGGTCCTTTGCCAGAAAACACATCAGCACTTTGGGGTGATGACTGCACTTCATGGTATAACTTCACATTTCATTAAATTACAAAATGTAATTCAATATGACTGAGGTAATGAGGCTTAATGTGTTGGCTTGGTACAAGTTAATAGATGCAAATCGCTAGTGGTGCTTAACCCAGCATTCTAGTCAGAGCCTACGTGACTGGGAAACCTTTTGGTTCTCATCTAAATTCCGAGATAGTGATTTTATTTCTTTAGACACATCATAAATTCCCAACTCTATATTTGCTGTGATAATTTATAATCATAAAAATAGCCAACTATTCTTCCATAGCCAGTCTTTTTTTAAAATCTTTATCAGATAGCTTGGTAGTTAAGAATGTGGTCTAGGGAACCCTAACAGCAGGATTCAGATTTTGTCCTTGCCATTTTAAGCTGTGTGACTGGCCTCGGGCAAAGCAATTACTTTTTGGGTGAGCCTTATTTTCCTCAACTATAACGTTTTCTCATTGAATTAATTAAATGAACTAATTTATGTGAAGTACATAGATCAATATCTGGAATTTGTTAGCTCTTACTAAATATTCATTCCTTTGGTAGCAGTCTCTGGAATAATCCTGTTTAGGGGCCAGGTCCCCTCAAAAAATACAACCTCATCTATACTAATAAAAGGGTAATATGCTAATTAGACTGGACATCTTCTCAACATCATTCCGGACATCCTTCCTGACAAAGCCGGGGCTGGAGGGAAGCCAGCTGGGCCCCGGGTGCCTGCGGGCAGCCGGAGGAGGGAAGCCAGCCTGGGTCCCGGTGCCGGAGGGAAGCCAGTGCCAGCAGCCAGGGGAAGGAAGGCCTACTCTTGCACAAATTTTTGTGCATCAGGCCTCCAGTTTCTAAATAAATGGAAATAAGTAGACTTTAAATATAAACTGCCTGACAAAAGTCAATTATAATATAGGAGTTTAAATGTAGCTCCTAACATTTTTGTTAAAGTGTAAAAATGGAAAATCTTTTACCATTATTTTTTAATAATTGACGGGTGACATGCGTTAACAGCTGAGCCTGTGGATAGCTGACCTGAATGGCTCCACTGTGGTCGGGCTTGCTGAGACCTGCCTGCCGGGGAGTCACAGCTCCTTCCTGGACTGGACACAATAGGCCTTATGTCCTTGGGACCACGTAGGCTGACAAAAGAGCTCCACCCACCTCCTCAGCAAGCTCAGCAGCCCCATGCTGGCCCGAGGGGTGAAAGGCTCTGTGGGTGAACACTTGGCCGTGCAGAAGAAAGAACTCTGGGAACCAAAAACTCGTGTTTAATTGAGCTGTTATATCATATGGATTTATTCAGATACATATTAAATATTTCATTACCAGACACTGTGTTAGATTTTAAATTCAATGATGGGCAGTATGTGATAGTGTTTCAAGGATACATAAGATGAAGTCCTGAACTAAAAAGAAATTTTATTATTTATTCCCAGTTTTATTGCCATATAATTGACCCTGTTTAAGATGTACAATTTATTGATTTGATACACTTATATACTGCAAAACGATTACCATCATAGCTTAGCTAACACCTCCATCATGTCGCATAATTACCATTTCTGTTTTGTGTTAAGAACATTTAAGATGTACTCTTTTAGCCACTTTCAAGTATATAATATGAAGTATTGTTAACTGCTATCACCATGCTGTACCTTAGATCCCCAGAACTTAGTCTAAAAAGAATTTTTAATTTAAAAAAAGGTGATGAGAGCTTTCCATTATAATTTTCATATAAAAATCTTTTAATTCAGCAAGTTAATGGGCTGCTAATAAAGTTTTATATTATGTAATATATTTTTGCATTAAATATATCTCTATACCTATATATAGTTTCCACCATTATAATGTATCTTCATTCCTTTGCTAAGGAAAAACTGTATCTCATTTCATTTTGCATTCTTTGATTACGAGTGAAAGTGAATATTTCAATGTATTTCTTCTTTTGTTGAGAGTATTATGTCTCCTTTTACCCCCCATTGCCCCTCTGTACCTGGTTCCTGCCTAGCACTAGGCCTTCGCCACCCTATTGTCTGTGTCGATAGGTAATGCATATATGCATATAAGTTATTTGGTTAATCTCTTCCCACCCCCCTTCTCTCTGAGATTCATCAGTCTGTTCCATGTTTCCATGTCTCTGGTTCTATTTTATTCATCAGTTTATTTTGTTCATTAGATTCCTTGTTCATTTATTTTGATTTTTAGATTCAATTGTTGATAGATATGTATTTATTGCTATTTTATTGTTCATATTTTTATCTTTTATTTTTCTTCTTCCTCTTTTTTATTTTTATTTTTTCTTCCTCTTCTTAAACAATACCCTTCAACATTTCACATAATACTGTCTTGATATATCATGAACTCCTTTAGCCTTCTCTTGTCTGTGAAGCTCTTTATCTGACCTTCAATTCTAAATGATAGCTTTGCTGGGTAGAGTAATCTTGGTTGTAGGTCCTTGCTATTCATCACTTTGAATATTTCTTGCCCTTCCCTCTGGCCTGAAAAATCCCTGTTGATAAATCAGCTGTGAATTTCTTATTTATGGTTTTGCCCATTGGTATTGGCATCTCTTTTTTAAGTTAAAAACAACAAGAACTATATTTTATGTTATATGTTATTGATATGTCTTTTCTTTTTGTTTTTTATTGATGCTAAGATTGTTGTTCCACATATAAAAATATATTTTATGTTGACCAATCTATTATTTTTCCTTTTATTGGCTCTGCCTTTGATGTAAGGCTTATTAATACTTCTCTCATCTAGTACATAATAAGCAAGTGTTATTTTCTTTGACTGTACTTTTAGGATTTTTTTAAACATATGCTTTTAATCTAAAATATATTTTGAGATATGGTAGCTTGGAGAGAAAATCATTATTTTTTTAATTAGCCAGTCAACCTGATACTATATATTGAATAATATAACATTACATGAATTACATAAACTAAAAGTAGTTATTTTAACTTTTTAAATAAGATAACCTAATACTTATATGTGAATTAAAAAGAATATAAAGAAACAGTAGAAATTTTAAAAACTGTTAAACTTCAGCCAAATTTTCTTTAAAATTAGAGCTGTTGGTTGGATACTAAAAGTTCATCCTGAGTTAAAAGAAATTATGAAAATTATTAAGATATTGGAGTTTTTTATTTTTTAAGCTACATATTCCTTACATGAGAATAAGTTTAAATTTCCCAAAGGTAAAATTTGATCAGTTGTCTCTGAAAAAAAGTGTAGAAGAAAATGTCAGAAAATAATTTTTATGTAAACCCTTTTATTTTTTATAAAAGAAAACAATTTTTAAGATGCAAACACATTTTTAGATGATTTTTAAAATAAATAATTAAAAGGAAAAGACTGTTCTGTGAACAAATATGTTATCAAAATGTCAAATTACTGTCAGGAAAAGTACAAACCCATCACAAGAAAATGATTCCATTTTCTGTTATTGACCCAAAGCCATTCCGTATGAATTCTGAGTGACTGTTGATTGTTTGCTCTCTCAATCAGTAGAAGTGTAGCTTTGTGTTTCCTTAGACATTCTTTGCTAAAGATCATGCCATATTTGGGTAATAGTTTTTTGTATGTACTTTTTCTAATGACCTTTCTTTGTTCTTATTTATCAGAAGAGATATATGCCTTCATTTTACCAATATCACATAATACTTCTAAATCACATGATTTGTGTAATGATACCTATTTTCTTACTGGAGATATTCTTCCTGTAGCCCTGTTCGTTCTAATAAGTGACAATGTTTGTCAGCCTGCTGTGTACTGTCACAGTGGACTTCTTGCATCACTTCTTGGTTGCATTGTACATTCTATCTTGTATCTTGAGTCTTTGTCTCTCTTCTGTCATGTTTTATAGTAGTTTCATTGAGACATAATTCACAACCCATACAATTCCCCCACTCAGTGGTTTTCAGTATAGTCAGAGATTATAACCATTGCTATAATAATTTTAAAACACTTTGATCACCCCAAAAGAAACTACATACTCATTAGCAGTCATTCCCCATTTCTTCTCACCCAACACCCACCCCAGCCCTAGGCAACCACTAATCTACTTTCTACCTCTATATGGTTGCCTGTTCTGGACATTTCATTTAAACAGTCATATATGTGGTATTTTGTATCTGGCATCTTTCACTTAATGTTTTCAAGTTTCATCCAGACAGAAGCATGTATCAATACTTCACTCATTTTCATTGCTGGACAATACAGTAATGCATCACTTAATGACAGGGATACCTCTGAAAAAGGCATCATTAGGCAATTGTGTCGTGAGAACATCATAGAATGCACTTACACAAACCTGGATAATAGGGCCCGTCTAGTACATACCTAGGCTATATTGTACAGCCTATTGCTCCTAGACTACAAGCCTGTATATCATATTACTAGGCAAAACAACATGAGATTGAATTAAGAAAAAAGGAAATGATGCAATTAAGATATGTGTTACACATGAGATGCATGAGGCTGCTGCCAGTGTAATACAGCATACTGTTTTTGTTTTGTAAATATATTTTTATTGATTTAAGAGAGCGAAGAAGGGAGAGGGAGAGAGAGAGAGAGAGAGAGAGAGAGAAACATTGATGTAAGAAACATTGATCAGCTGCCTCCTGCATACTCCCTACTGAGAATCATGCCCATAACCCAGGCATGTGCCCTGACCACGAATCGAACCAGCAACATTTTGGTGCATGGGACAATGTTCAACAAACTGAGCCACACCATCCAGGACATGACATACTGTTTTTGTTTTTTTAAATATATTTTATTGATATTTTACAGAGAGGAAGGGAGAGGGATAGAGAGTTAGAAGCATCGATGAGAGAGAAACATCGATCAGCTGCCTCCTGCACACCCCCCACTGGGGATGTGCCTGCAACCAAGGTACATGCCCTTGACCGGAATCAAACCTGGGACCTTTCAGTCCGCAGGCCGACGCTCTATCCACTAGCCAAACTGGTTAGGGCATGACATACTGTTTTATAGCAAACATTTTGTGTAAGTAGAAAGAGTACATTCTAAAATAATGATAAAAAGTATAGTATATATATAAGCCAGAAACATAGTTGTTTATCATTATCAAATATTATGTACTGTACATAATTGTGTGTGCCGCACTTTTCTATGATTGGCAGGGCAGTAGATTTGTTTACACCAGCATCATTTTGAAATCCCACCAGCAGTGTATGAGGGTTCCAGTTTCTTTACTTCCTCACCGACACTTGTTATTATAGTCATCCTAGTGGGTATAAAGTGATATTTCATTGTCATTTTGATTTGCATTTCTGTTACTTTTTAATTTTGCTAGAGTACATCCCAAAGTAATTTGTTTTTAAGAAAAATATTTGTATGTGCAAAATGCCATTTGGGGGAGGGTTTATATATTACTACTTATTCTTATCAAAGTCATATATTTAAGCCACTTTAGACATCTCTTTTTAATTACCTAACATACTCCCTGCAGAGTATTTTCTATTTGTTATTTGCTCTTTTTTGTTTCTCTATATAGTTGTACTCACAAAGAAAATATTTGATGGGTTTAGAGGGAAGGCATGGAGTGCATAAAACTGGCAGTACATTACAAATTTCTTTTTTCTGAAAAATTTAATTGTAATATTTTGGCAAAAAGGAAGACATGCTTACCAAAAAATGACTGGTGATTGAAAAAACAAATGTAGGTCCTGGAATATTCTACAAGCAGAAGAATAGCAACCGAAAATAACAACCCCAAAACACCTAGTGGTTTAGTTTTATATAACGATTTTATTATGAGCTATATCAAAAAAGATAGAATTTATAACTGAGCAGAATTTAAGTACATTACTGACCCAGACTTTTCCTGTTTGTAGTCATTAAGTAGTGGGTATTTCTAAAATGCTCAGTGTATCAAAGTCTGGGTGCATGAGGAGGTCTCATTTATGTTTCTGAGCTACTACAGGCATGTTAGAGCAAGAAAAATGAAGAGGTTCTGATCTAGTCCGACCCCTTATTTTATAGGTGAGGAAATCAAG